TAGTGAAGCTGTAGCATGCTAATAAAATAGATGCAGCCTGGGGTAAAGAGCTATTGATTCCATGACCAGCACCTTGGGTCATATCTCTGCAATCTTGTTCCATTTAGTCGTGAATGGTGATAAACAATTAAATGAGTAATAGGAGGAGCCCTGAAACATAAACAGAAATTGCTGGTGGAACTCAGCAGGTCTGGCGGCATCTGCAGGAAGAAAGCAGAGTTAAATTTCAAGCTTGGTGACTCTTCATCAGAACTGGCCCCACACAGATGCTGCCAGACCCGCTCAGTTTCTCCAGCAATTTCTGCTCTTGTGTGTTTCCAGATCTGCAGCATCCGCAGTTCTTGGTTTTATTTTAATGGGAGGAAACTGCTTCTTGAGCATCCCAGGGGAGGCACTGGTGCAGTGCTAATGGTAATGACATGAGATTGGCAATCCAGAACCTGTCACTAATATTGTGAGGAAAAACAAAACAAAGAACTGTGCTTGCTGGAGATCTGAAAATCCTGATGAAGGGTCACTAGACTCAAAACGTTAACTCTGTTTTTCTCTCCACCGAAGCTGCCAGATCTGCTGAGGTTTTCCAGGATTTTGTTTTCGTTTAATATTTTGTGGACATGGGTTTGAATCCCAGCATAGAACATAGAACATAGGACATAGAACATTACAGCGCAGTACAGGCCCTTCGGCCCTCGATGTTGCGCCGACCTGTGAAACCAATCTGAAGCCCATCTAACCTAAACTATTCCATTATCGTCCATATGTTTATCCAATGACCATTTAAATGCCCTTAAAGTTGGCGAGTCTACTAGTTTTTGCAGGCAGGGCATTCCACGCCCTTACTACTCTCTGAGTAAAGAACCTACCTCTGACATCTGTCCTATATCTATCACCCCTCAATTTAAAGCTATGTCCCCTCGTGCTAGCCATCACCATCCGAGGAAAAAGGTCCACCCTATCTAATCCTCTGATCATCTTGTATGTCTCTATTAAGTCACCTCTTAACCTTCTCTCTAACGAAAACAACCTCAAGTCGCTCAGCCTTTTCTCATAAGACCTTCCCTCCATACCAGGCAACATCCTGGTAAATCTCCTCTGCACCCTTTCCAATGCTTCCACATCCTTCCTATAATGTGGTGACCAGAACTGTACGCAATACTCCAAGTGCGGCCACACCAGAGTTTTGTACAGCTGCAACATGACCTCATGGCTCCGAAACTCAATCCCTCTACCAATAAAACCTAACACACCGTACGTCTTCTTAACAACCCTATCAACCTGGGTGGCAACCGCAGATACTGAATCTGAATTCAATAAAATGCTGCCCTTATGGTGACCATGTAACCACTGTTAATTGGCATTAAAACCCAGCTGGTTAACTAACGTCCTCCTTAACTGGTCTGCCACATTTATATTTGACTCCAGATCTAAAGCAATGCGGTTGGCTCTCAGCTGCCCTCCTGAGCAATTCAAAATCGACAATAAATGCCATACCACTTTTTTTATAAAATGGATCTAATAAAAATGAAAAAGAAATTCCTGTTGTGAATGATTACTGATCACAGCATGATGTAGAAAAAATGAAGTGCTGAGTGGATGATTCTTGAGGTTGATGATTCTCCTGAGATTCCCTGCATCACAGCTTCCAGTCTTCAACCATTTGATTCATAGACTCAACTCCAGGTAACAGCACCTTCAGCGCTATACTGGCCCTTTCAGCATCTGGCCGTGGTGCTGAAGACTTGTGTTCCATCCAGCCAAGATATTCCAGTACAGCTACCCCATTGGCATCTATTAGTTGTGAAATTTGGAAAAAGGAAGGCAAATTGCTTCCTATCCCATCAGCCTATTCATCATAATAAAGGAGAAAAATACTGTGGATTCTGAGACAGATACAGAGAAAGTCAGCAGCTCTGGCAGCATCTGTGGGAGAAAAGCAGAGTTAATGTTTCAAGTCTAGTATGACTCTTCATAATTCTATTCATAATCATCAGCAAAATGATGAAAGAACCACCAACTTGGTATTTACTCATCACTGATCTGCTCAATTTGTGTCTCAGCAGTATAATTTAGTCTAAATTTAACTAGTCTTAGGCCAAGAATGCACATTAGCTGAATTCCAGAGACGTAAGTGATCTGTTCTGAGGCAGGGACCCCAGACCCGAAACGTTAACTCTGATTTTTCTTCACAGGTGCTGCCCCCTGCTGAGCTTTTCCAGCAACTTCTGTTTTCGTTCCTGATTTACAGCATCCTCAGTTCTTTTGGTTTTTCTGTTTGGTGACTTCAATTGACGTGAATGTCAAAACCTTCAAAGAACTATATTTATTCTTGCTTGCACCTTGAGAGCTGAGATAGCGACACGATGTATTTTTGTTACCAGAGTATATTGCTGAAGCGTTGTACTACAGGCTATTCTGCCAAGCCCCATCAGGAACACCATGGCACTACCTGTGTTTTTAATATTCAAAAATGCCATAGCAAGAGAGAGCATTTGGTCATGTTCACAGGTGTGCCGCCACTTTTGTCAGGGCAACATCTTCCTACGTATCCAAGGGGATAGTCGGATTTTTAATTAGTAATAAGTTGAAGAGTTACAGAGAGCAAGTAGGAAAGCGGAGCCGAGGCCGAGATGAGATTGGCCATGATCACATTAAATGGTGGAGCAGGCTCAAAGGTCTGAATTACCTACTGCTCCTAGTTGTGTTCTTCTTATGAAGTAAACAAGCACCTACTGTGTATATCAAGACCTTAATCATGGCAGCATTTCCCCTAGTGTTGAAATTTGCAAATGGAGCTAATTTAGCAATCTTTGACCTCCTTGCCTCCCTCCTCATTTTATGATGTGGCAATGCCAACATCTTTGACCATGCTTGTTTTTACTTGCCCTAATATCCGCTTTTGTTAGTTGATTTCACTTAAGTTTTGACTTTTAACATTGGTATAAAGTGTCCTGCATTCTTTATTATATTAAAGACATGATCTAAATGTTATTTTTTTTTGCTGTTTGGGCTGTTTAGGAGGGCTGATTCTGTACACCAGGACTGAAGTGACTGTAATATATTTTGTGTTGCATCATTGTGTAATCCAAATTTTGTATCAAAAAACCAATGGCTTCCGTGATGTTTAGGTAGACAACAATTTAGCAGAGAGTTTCAAAGAGCAGACATATTGGACTTGAAACATTAACTCTGTTTCTCTCTTCACAGATGCTGCTGGACCTGTTGAGTTTCTCCAGCCCTTGCTGTTTTCAACTCCGTCCTAATGTTGATTGAAACATTCATTTCCAGCTAGTTTCAGTAAATGATAACTTTGCACCATGCAATTGTTAATAATAAACTTCTTCAAATTCTATTTCTCATGAAGCTAACAACGCACATTCCGTCCATTCAAACTGATTTGTCTCGGTATTGTTCTATAGCTTTGGCAAGAATCTTACCAACACCCACACAAAATATAATCAGAGATTAAAATAAAATGAATGTTTCCTCCCCTCTTCATGCGTATCCCAGTTTTCCATGACCTGTGGTCATAATTCTCCTTATATGATATGTTTGTCCTAATCCTTCTCTTTGATAACAGCCTCAATCTTAGGCTGATTAAAAACCTGACAATGTAGAAAGAGCAATTGTGGTAGTAACCCTGTTGAGATGCTTGTAGCCTGGCTTTTCTTAACAGAGGGTAATCCAGTGTCTGAAACATCTGGAGCCAATTGCACTATGGCTGTCAGCCCATCTTCACTTTCTGCCAATTTCTCAATCCAGTGAGGAGCATTGTTGGAAAGCAAGTTGTGCTGTCTCTGAGAGGAGTACGAGTCATGGAAGTTTTCACCTGCCACATTTTCAAAACTAAATCTGCCAGTTGGCGATCGCACGTATGGGTGAAATCTGACATCATTGCTCATTCTGCATAGCTGACCAATCCGTTTGAAATGCGAATTATTGTTTATGCTGTATTGCATATGGCTTATCTTTTTACTGTTGTGAATTGTTTCGATTTTTATTAACTGAATTGACAGAAGATAAAGTTATTGTTCAATGTGTTCTCTGGAATAGCAATACAATTTCAGTTTATAGGAAATCTGTTTACAGAAAATGTAATTTTCTTTACACAAAGAAGAAGGCAATGGAGAACACTTAGTGCCTACGGTATTTGCGAAGCCTTTTAAAAAATAAAAATTGTAAATACCTCATGGTCATCCTGGGATAGCATCAACCTGAGAGAGATTTTATCACAAATGAAATCCCAAGAGACTTTGCTTGAATGCTTCTTTCAAGTAGCTGCTGAAGAAGTCACTTTTGTATAAGTCCTTGATTCTGATGTTCCCTTAATCCCTATTTCTCTGGCTACTAGGACCTGTGTTCATATGTAAATTTTAAGAACCGGGAGAGATGTTCTCATCATAATTGTGAGCATTTATTTAAAAAAAATGGTGATGCAGTCAATTTTCCTTCAATGACCTTGGCAGACCCAGGACTTCTGGGCAGAACCAAAAATTTTTAAATCTATGATTTTTGCTATTTTTGTTAGGGTACTGAAAATTTACAGATGTATTACTTTTGTGCGAGATGTCATTCTGTTCTCAGACAATTCTGAAATCCAGGAATGACTTGGTAACATGTATTCCAGCTTAGGAAGGTCCCTATTCTTATGGAACATAATGATTGTTTAGAAATTTCTGTTCATGAGCTTATGAAATTTGTTTGTTTAGTGGGAAAAATTAAAACCTTCAAATGATTTTGTAAACCTTAACTTCATTATGAAGTACTAATCACACTGGTGAACAGTACACAAACTAATAGAATCTAAAACACTGTGAATGCTGGAAACTGAAGGCTGGAATTTTGGAGATACTCAATAGGTCAAGCAGGATCTGTAGAGAGAAACAGGAGTTAACATTTCAGGTCTGTGACCTTTGAAGTGCTGAGTATTTCCAGTGTTTCTGTTTGTATGATAGAATCCAAATTAATATATTTTGTTCTTTTATTTATCTGCATTTACGCAGTGGAGCAAGTTCCTGTAGAAGCTTATCAAGTCCCTCTTTCACAAGCAGAGGTTCTCGAGGAGGGAAATGATGTCACACTTGTTGCCTGGGGCACTCAGGTCAGTATTTGTGTGCATTTTATCAGTACATGCTGTGTTAAGTAATTTGTTAACTAACAAACCTGAAGGAGTAGGGAGACATGGATATGTATGTGTGTAAGTCCTTTCAGGTGGCAGGACAGAAGGATAGAACATCTTCTAAAGTACAGTATTCTAGGCTTTATTAATCGGGGCAGACAGTACAAGAGCAAGGACATTACACTGAACTTACTTAAGAAACCAGTTAGACCTCAGCTCTGGAGTATTGCGCATAATTCAGGGAGGATGTGAACATTTTGGAAAAAGTGCAGGCGAGGTTTATGAGAGTGATTTGATTTTTGATTGTGTTTTGATTTGAGCTGCCGTGCTGGCACGTTCTCCCCGTGTCTGTGTGGGTTTCGTCCGGGTGCTCTGGTTTCCTCCCACAGTCCAAAGATGTGCAAACTAGGCAGATTAGCTAAGCTAAATTGCCCATAGTGTTCAGGGATGTGTAGGTTAGGTGGGTTATTGAGGGATGAGTCTGGGTGGGATGTTCTGAGAGTTGGTGTGGATTTATTGGGCCAAAGGGCCTGTTTCCACACTGTAGGGATTCTGTGATATTCTGATGATATTCTATGATTTTGTTGTCATATGTACTCAAGTACAAAAGGAGCACAGGGAAAAGTGTATAATGTTGCCAGACAAGATGCCATCTTAGTTACAAGTTCCTAGGTACAGAATCTCAAGAACAAAGTTAAAAGTTAAGCATAATGTTATAATACAGCGTAAAACCCACGAAATAAGGTTAAAAGTTGCAAGTTGCAGACCTTCTTAGTTTTAAGTAGAAAATATAGATTAAGCTGAAATTCAGGGTTGAGAAATTTCCGTTAGGATGATAGATTGGAAAAGTTACAAGTGATTTCCTTGAAGAGGAGAAGGATAAGAGGAGATTAGATAAAAGTTTTCGATATCACGTGGGATCTAGTCACAACAACCAGTTATCACCAGTCATGTGGAAAAAAAGTCATGCAATTCTTAGGAAGCCTTGTTTAACAAAAAAATCAATCTCAGCAGTGTACTTCAAACCATTGCAGGTCTTTCCACAAAATTTGAAATAAATCCAATTTTCCACAATCCTTCAAAAATTAAGTCCTTCAGGAAATATTAGATATAAAGTCTTTTTTGTACATGATTCCAAAAAGAAATGAGAATAAGACGGCACAGATTTAAAGTAATTTGCAAAACAAGTCAATGTGATGTGAATAAGTGTTCTTTACATAGTAAGTAGCTCTGGAATGTACTGCCTGGAAGTGTGGTGGTGACAGGTTGATTTCTGGTATTCAATTGTTATTTGAGTAGGAACACTGCAGGGTTTGGGGAAAAGGTACATGGAAAGCCAATGCAGAAACAGTGAGCTGAATGCCTACCTCCTGTATTGTATTAGTTCTGAGATTCTGTGAAATTGAACTCTCCTGTTTAATATCCCCCTCCAAAAAATAGTACATCTTGGTGCCTTTTCTCTGCTGTTGATTTCATTCAGGTTGAGAAGAGTGGTGTGTGAATCTGCATCCATTGAACCTTAAAATGGATCTCAATCTTAAAACATTATAAAGATGTTAAAACCAGGTAATTGTTCATAATCAAGTACATGGATGTTTCTTCTAATTCCACCTATGCCATCTATGCCACATCAGACCATAAGGCATAGGAGCAGCAGTAGGTCATTCAGCCCATCAAGTCTGCTGTGCAATTCCCTGAGATCACGACTGAAGTGATAATCCTCAACTTTACTTTCTTGCCTTATTCCCATAACCCTTGATTTCCTTACTCGTTTAAAAATCTGTCTGTCTCACCCTTGAACCTACTTAATGACTCAGTCTCAACAGTCCTCTGTGGTAGATAATTTCACAGATTCACTACCCACTGAGAGAAGAAATTCCTCCTCATCCTGTATTGAAAGGACTATCCTTTCTTATGAAATTATGTTTTCTGTTTTTAGACTGTTCCACAGAGGGGAAAAGCCTTTACACATGTATCATTTCAAGTCCCTAAAGAATAATACATGTATCAGTAAGATTTCCTCTCATTCTTCTAAATGCAAATGATTACAAGCCCAAGCTACTCAATGCCTCCTCATGAAAGATGATAGACCTTCGTCGTGCCAAATAGAATGTTGATAAATAGCTTAATGCAGTTATATACTACACATTGTGTGAATAAGGAGGTGTCCCATTGCAGACTGTAAGGAGCCAGTGACTCTGATGACTCTAATGACTCTGAAAGACATTGGCAAATTCTCCAGTGGACTCTCACTTGGGTGTTGAAATTTCTTGGAGCTGCTTTGCTTTCAGTTGACATTGTAACTAATGAACAGATACAGCTGCTAGATAGGAACATCCTTTGACAGTATTTTTTCAATGCTGACATCTGGACAATAAAGCTCAGTGCATAGTCAAAAACCATTTCATCAGTACTTCCTGTGAAAGTATCATTGCAGTAGCTATTTGGGATGTTCTTGACATATGATGTTTCAGTTAACCTTTCCATTGTTACTGATTTAAAAATATGAATCATTCCTGCTGCTCTTTTGAGCTGTGCTCTTTAACGTCTGTTTTAAAATACATTTATCATTTCAATAATATTCTATGAACTGGCAGTAACCTTTACAATATCTTGTATTTGTGAATAGTTCATACCCTGGAATTCTATTCACCTTGGCAGACACTGTCTTACAATGCCACAATATTTATCAAATTACTCAATCACCACACATAGATTTAGCATGTTTGAAAAGCTGTGTTTTTTTCTTTCATTGTTCAATTAAATTGTTTTTGTTCTACCATTGGTATGCAGTACATTAGCAGTTCTCAATACTAAGTATCAGCTACCTTTCATTTACCTTGTGACTAAGACTTTGGAGATGGCTTTGAACTATGTCCAAATTTAAAAATTCCAGTTTACCCACACTGATTTGTATAATTTGCAAATTTACATGATCTGTTTGCAGTGTTCTAGGGAATCTCATTATTTAATATAAACAACAGTGGTTACAGAAATGATGTTCCTAATTACCAGTGTCTAATTAAAAATATTATTGTCGAAGGTTAGTTTCTAATCATTTTTGTCTTACTGTTTCAAGAACTCATAATTTATGATTGATTTCTGTGAGCTGTGGTTTATTCTGAAGATTCTGTGAATTACCTTATCAAGCATTTTCTGAAAGATAGAATACTTACATAATTAATATTACCTATTAATTTCCACAGAATCGAAAACCAAAACCAATTTAATGGAACAGAACCAGACTCCATAAATCCACACTAGCTTCAAATGGTTGTGATCGTTTTTCTGATAAAATGTAATAATAATTGTCATTTATATAGATGATTTGGATGTGAAAGTAGGAGGTATGGTTAGTAAATTTGCAGATGGTATTAAAATTGGAGGTGTAGTGGATAGTGAAGAAGGTTACCTGAGAGTACAACAGGACCTTGATTAGATGGGCCAATGGGCTGAGGAGTGGCAGATAGAAGTTAATTTAGATAAAAACAGGAGGTGCTGCATTTTGGAAAGGCAAATCAGGGCAGGACTTATACAAGTAATGAAAAGGTCCTGGGGAGTGTTGGTGAGCAAAGAGACCTCAGAGTGCAGCTTCATAGTTCCTTGAAAGTGGAGTCGTAAGTAGATAGGATAGTGAAGAAGGTGTTGGTGTGCTTGCCTTTATTGGTCAGTGCATTGAGTATAGGAGTTGGGAGGTCATGTTGCCGCTGTACAGGACATTGGTTAGGCAACTTTTGGAATACTGTGTTCAATTCTGGCCTCCCTGCTATAGGAAGGATGTCGTGAAGCTTGAAAGGGTTCAGAAAACATTTACAATGCTGTTGCCAAGGTGGACAGTTTGAGGTGTAGGGAGAGGGTGAATAGGTTGGAGCTGTTTTCCAGGAGTGCCGGAGCCTGAGGGGTGACCTTACAGAGGTTTATAAAATCATGAGGGGCATGGATAGGGTGAATAGCCAAGGTTTTATCCCTGGGGTGAGGGAGTCCAAGACTAGGGGGCATAGGTTTACATTGAGAGGGGAAAGATTTAAAAGGGGCCTAAGGAGCAACTTTTTCATGCAGATGGTGGTGCGTGTATGGAATGTGCTGCCAGAGGGAGTAGTAGAGGCTGGTACAATTGCAACATTTAAAAGGCATCAGGATGTGTACATGAGTAGGAAGGGTTTCGAGGGATATGGATCAAATGCTGGCAAATGGTACTAGATTAAATTAGGATATTTGGTTGGCATGGACGAGTTAGACCAAAAGGTCTGTTTCCATGCTGTACATCTCTATGACTAATAGGATTGCCTGGATTATGCATGACCTCACCTTACAAGATTGGAATATATATAAATGTTCTTCGTTTTGAATAACAAACAAAAACAGCCATCAGACTCTCTATTTTTCTTAAATGGTTTCTGTACAAAGCTCAGAGATAGTAAAAACTGCTGATGCTGGAGTCAGAGATAACACAGTGTGGAGCTGGAGGAACACAGCAGGCCAGGCAGCATCAGAGGAGCAGGAAAGCTGATGTTTCGGGTTGGGACCCTTTTCTTCAGAAAGGGTCCCGACCCGAAATGTCAACTTTCCTGCTCCACTGATGCTGCCTGGCCTGCTGTGTTCATCCAGCTCCACACTGTGTCTATCTGCATAATGCTGTTTTTTTTTGAGTAGTCAAGTTTTGCTTTGCTATTAAACATTTTAGTACTGACATCTAGCTTTTTGTGAAATAGGTTGCATTTCTCTATTCCCTGAGTTCAATATTTGCAATGTTTTCGAATTGTTGATTTCAAATTTCGATTGTTGATGAAATTTTTAATAGGCCAATTTCCTTGGTGATCCCCTACTCACTTCTTCCATTCTTAGTGTGTGTTATTAGTTTAAAATTACAAAATTAACAAATGATATTTTCTGTTCTGATGTACACTTTTTCGCCCAGGATAAGACCATAAAAAGTAGAAACTGAAGGAGGCCATTCAACCCTTTGAGTCTGTTCCGTCATC